AAGAAAGAATGTGAAACAAATTGGTTATATAATTTTCATTTTTAAATATTTTAAAATATAATTGAAATAGATTTTACACACTTTAAGCAATATCGTATCGAATATCGCATTTAACAAGGTATCGCATATCGCATTTTTCTTCAATATCGCACAGCCCTACTGTTAACCCATGTTAACCAATAGACAAATCGCCATTGAAGCATTGCTTCAGGCTCCTTGTAGTAGGAAATGCAGCTTTCTGAAAAAATGTATTGGGTAATGCAGTGATTTAGTTGTCATAAGTATGACCACAACAATAACAAAGAAGCGTTATCTCTGGAATTGAAATGTTTTCGAGGGTAAACTTGAGCCTGATTAGTATAGAAAGCCCACTTTTCAGGATCCAGTGCATTCCTGATGGATAAAATACAGTCCTGTATTGCATGTCTCGTTCAATATTCTCTTTAACTGATATGCCTCAAATTACAGAAGCAAATGTGCTCTGAATGTGGTTTCATGTTGACTCTAATGCCACCCCTCATTAGTTACCGACTATTTACACAAAGCATGTCATTCAAGGAAGAAAACAGGCTATTTTCTTACGGAAGAAAAATAATGCCATATGTCTTTAAAACAAAAAAAACGTTGAATAGCACTAACTGAAAAAATAATGCATTGCATTAATAGTGCTTGCATTTTAATGCCTTGTATTTCCAGGGCTTGCATTTTTAGGTCCTGAAATTTAACATAGTTTATAATTAAAAATTCAATAATTCATATTCAACTTCCAGAATTCACTTCCAAAATATTCAATCCGTTTAAAAATACGATGTATATCGACAGGCAAATTTCGGTCCATTTTATTTGGCTTTCCAAATTCGCTTCCACAAATTCAGTGGTTAAAATTCGACAGAAAATTCGCCTTTGAACATCCGGGAGCTGCAGGAATAGCAGTAGAGCACCGATGCACGATCTCCAGCTGCTGTCAGTCGCCCACCAGCAGGTGGCGCAAGCGGCTGTCGATGAAGACCAAAGCAACAGGTGGATTAAGTCATTCATTCACAAAAACCGATCTGCAGAAATGGAGCAAGCGCTAAGTAGAAGTTTTGATTATCAGGGCCAGTATAAAACGTGGAAAAGCTGATTGTGTGTATGTTTAATTCAACATCCTAGCTTTTTCCTGTAGTCTACATGTAAGCAGCTTTCTCTACCACAAAGGAGATTATAATGCTGTTTTACTCGACGCTGAAGTACGGAACTAACGTATATACAGGCAAGCAAATGAGGTCAGAAGAAAGCAACGCGCTGCATTTTCTTTATAATTGCATTCCCTTACGACTGATCTATAGAGTCAACAGTCCTACATAGACATCAATACCACGATTAGTTTTAACAATATGCAACCACTTTATATTGACATAAAAATAGGAGGTCATATCCGCCTAGGTGTATTGTTGCTATTGTTGCTTAAACCGGAGAAAGCATTGACGCGCTATCACACCCAAGAGACCGTCTGACAATTCCACCGACTGGGTTAAAACGTCCAATGTATTTTAATTAAAATGACTTTTAACATTTAAAATAACACACTGCTTATAGTGATTTACTACTGGTAAGATTTTGCCAATACCTCCCTTCATATCTGTACAGTACACAATTATTTACATATAAAAGATCCCTGGAAAAAATATTTTTTCATGTTCCAACGGTTGTAGTACGTTGCTAGATACAAGACTAACTTACTACAGGTTAGATTTTGCCAATATCTCCCTTATGGTATGTACAGTACACAAATATATTTTAAAAACACTACAGTAATTCACCAAAAGGGTTTTTTTCATGTTCCACAGGTTGTAGTACGTTGTTAGTTACAAGACTGACTGAGTTCATGTGAAATTTTGCCAGTATCTCCCTTACTGTATGTACCATTCACAATTATTTAAAAAATAAATAAATAAATCTGTAAGACCCCAAAAGGGATTTTTCATGTTCCAAAAGTTGTAGTATATAATATTGATGTACTTTATGTACAATAAGGGAGGTATTAGCAAAATGTCACCTATAGTAAGTCAGTCTAGTCACTAGGAATGTACTACAACATTTGGAACATAATAAAAAAAAAACTTTGTGAATTTTACAGTGAGGAAGATATTGGCAAAATTTCAACTGTAGTAAGTCAGTCTGGTCACTAGTAACACACAAGTAACATACACCATTTGGAACACGAAAAACACCATTTTGGTTAATTACTGTAATTTTTTTATTTAAAAAATATTTGTGTAGTGTACATAGAGAAAATATTGTCTAAGGCGAGTTATTGGCAATATATATTTAGTCAGTTTCAGTAAATTATTCATTTACTGTAAACATTAATTTGACTAAATTTTTGGACTTCGTTTTGTACTGTGAGGTAAATTTGCAGACGGTCCCTAAATCTGCCTAGGCGAATATGCACCGAATATCAAACCTAAGACTACCGCGCTTGGTTTTCTGTGGGAGAAAAAATGGTTTGGTGAGATCTGAGGTCTTTTTTATATCACTGTATTAGTTCACTGAGGCGCGTTATGCTGGTTGGGGAATCCTGGAGTGTGAAGTATGAGGGGGAACCCCAGTATTGCAGCACAGCGTAAAGCCATAATACAAAGTTACGGAAACTAAGCAACCGAAAGCAATATATGTCTTCCTCAGATGTAATGTTAGTTCTATACTTCAGTGTCGAGTAAAACAGCATTATAATCTCCTTTGTGGTAGAGAAAGCTGCTTACATGTAGGCTACGGGAAACAGCGAAGATGTTGAATTAAACATACACACAATCAGCCTTTCCACATGTTTATACTGGCCCCGATAATCAAAACTTCTATTTAGCGCTTGCTCCATTTCTGCAGATCAGTTTTTGTGAATGAATGACTTCCTGCAGCTCCCGGATGTTCGAAGGCGAATTTTCTGTCGAATTTTAACCACTGAATTTGTGGAAGCGAATTTGGAAAGTGAAATAAAATGGACCGAAATTTGCCAGTCGGATATTATACATCGTATTTTTAAACAGATTTTGGAAGTGAATTCTGGAAGGTGAATATGAATTATTGAAATTTTAATTATGAAAATGTGTGAAATATTTTGAATTGAAATATTCACAGCTTAAATAAACAACTGTTAAATTTCAGGACCTAAAAATGCAAGCCCTGGAAATACAAGGCATTAAAATGCAAGCACTGTTAATGCAATGCATTATTTTTTCAGTTAGTGCTATTCAACGTTTTTTTTGTTTCAAAGACAGTATTATTTTTCTTCCATATTTTCTCCTCCATACGTCATCATCGTGTACTGCTTTTCCCTCACATTGTTCTAACTGAAGAATGTTTTAAAGAAGGACCTGTGATTGTGTTTTTGTCTTTGATTTATTAGGTGTCACTCAATATTTGCTCTCTTCTCGTAGGCCAGAGGAACAGGGAGAAGACTACAGAGAGCAGCTGCTGTCTACTGCTGTAAAACCCAGACAAACCTTCCCCCCACCTCCTCCTCGTCCTTCTGCTCCCCGCTCCCGTCTCTGCTCACCAACCCGTGGTGCATTCTGGATGATTACAGAAGAGTTCCAGGGAGAGTGCGACTAGGTTTTTGTTCAGTGTTTTTGCTCTGTTTAGTAGCTGGAGACTGCTGTGCCAAGTTTATCAAATCTCATATGTTTGCCTTCGTTCGGTTTTTCTCGTTTCGTTTGGTTGCCTAATTTACTTGCTTAGTGAAGTGGCCGTTTGTTTCCAGGCCTCCTGAAAATATTAAACTCCGCAAATATGAAATACCTGAATCATTGACAGGAAATTACGTAAACAGTTGTGTGAACAGTTTTTTTAGGGGGATGTCCTGTACTCGAGAGACCTTCTGCTCTCCCAACACCCAAGTGTCAGAGTTTTCACTTGGATCACACGTCTGACTCAGACGAAGCTTAACATGCGTCATAATCTCAGACTTTTGATTGCACTTAACACGGATCCTTATCTGAAGTTACTATATGTGTGTTGTAGTCTTAATCTTCCCGCCTGCCTCAAACAGAAGGAGCTTACGGAGAGAGAGAGAGGTGTGATGACACAAGCGCCAGTCTGTTGCTGTGGACCGAGGGAGTCTGCTGTAGCGCTGGTGGATTTGATGTGCCATGGCCACCTACGATTCTTGCCTTTTGTCTTAGGACCAATCGAGAGTAGATCTCAAAGTCGCCAGACTCTTCTTACTGACCAGTTGTGTCAACATCTGTGCATGACCCTAGTCTAGTGTTTCCTCACCCTGGATGTGTACCAGCCGCCTTTAAAAACCATTCACCCTGTGTCTACTTGAATAGCGTTTTTTATTTTCCTCGTCTCCGCTGAAGAAGCATGAGGGAAGGTTGGCGATTTTGTGCTTGATGTGAAATGACACAAACTCTTCTTCTTGCCCAGTCAGGATATATCATCTCTATCCTATTCCATTCTTGTCTAACGTGCGTCCTGAGGGACAAAGCCCAGGTGCAAAGAATAAGGAAATCATCAGAAAGCCTCTGTCTGGAGCGAAGGGCTGGGCTGGTAAAAGCCCCCATTATAAGCGCTATGGATTCATGAACCCCCTGCTGCGCTGCAGCTTTAGAGGTAAAGATGTGTGCCAGGAATGGCCACCCCTAATGGCCTCCAACTGGGCTGAAAGAAAGAAAAAAATAAGTGTTTTATTTCCTAATGTTTGTATGCCGTCTGTTTTGTTTGCCTTATGATTGTGGGAAATTAATATTATTATTAATAATGGAGTCATTTTTATCTTGTCTGAGTACGGTTGAGTTTTTATTAGTACACATAAGATGGTTGACTCATGTTAATTGTGTGTGTGAGAGGCTTTTTTTTTTTTTTTTTCTTTTTCTGGAAAGATAGTACAGTTGTTGTGGAAAGTGTCCACTGGAACTGTCTCCAATCTTGTTTTGATTGGCCAATTACTGCAAGAGTGTTTATTATTGTCACTGCTATGAAAATTAGCTGCAAATTATTAAATGTAAAAAAAAAATCCCTAAATCTTGTATTATAAATTAATAAAACCTTTCAAATAATACTCCGGTGTTCCTGTGAATTTTAAGATATTATTATTATTAATTTATTTTATTTTTTTGTCATGAACCCCCACCCATTTGCTTACTGGGCAACATCCTTACAGTCATGAAAAAATACACCAAATAGAAATACTACAGTAAGATATAAACTAATGGGTATGTAATATATATAATGTGCATACAACTGCAGTACTATTAACCATTGCTAGTTTACATTTCGGTGACTATCTTCTAGCATGTTACTTTATACGTTATTATTATTATTATATGTGCTTTGGGTCTGGCGTTGCGTTAAAAGACAAATAACCGTTTTTACAACCTATTGGGTTGAAAGACATTGTCACGTCCTTTATAAATGAATCCGCAGCTCTGTGTGTGTTTGCGTGGTGCTGTGGTTCAGCCTCTAGATGGCGATCTGGTTCCGGTTCTCTGAGGGGTTCTGTGACGTCATCCTTGACTGCGCGCTTCCAATATTTCTCTCATTTACTAAAAAAAAATGCTCTCATTTACTACTAGGCCAGATTGAATTGATTGACCGATTCAATTGTTTCGGCACAATTGAATATAAGCTTGTTCTTGTGTTGATGCAATGACACTTTCTTAAACACGTATTAAATAGAGGAGCCAGCATAAACAATATTATTAGTTACCTTTGTATTCATGCTCTGGAAAGGCAATAGTCGTTTTGTTATGACCGTGAATTTCCACTGACCGCTTGACAGCAGGCTAAGTAGCGTGACCCATAACATTTCTTTCCTCTTTTAATGATCGCAATGAGCCTTAATTTATTGTAGACCTTTTCTAGTTTAATAAAAATTTCCTTCTGTTTTTGAAAAGTCCTTTCATGACTTATTGTTGAGACGTTTCCAGTTGACGTTGGAAGAGAACAGAAGAAAGAAGTATTGTCCAGATCATGCACTGCAGCTCACAAAGTCTTAATCGCTTCATAGTGAACTGTTCGTGGTGTGAGCCTGTTTCTTTTTGCACTGGGCCACACAATCATAATAAATCTGGTATGAAAGTCAGAGAATGAACCACAGTCTAACCTTGTATCTGCTAAATATTTAAAATTAAACACCTAAAATGAAAAAAATATATATGCATAACGTCATATTTACTTATGTACAACTACTGTTCAAAAGTTTGGATTCTGTAAGATTTTTGTTTTTGAAAGAAGTCTCTTCTGCTCACCAAGGCTGCAAGTATTTGATCAAAAATACATTTAAAACTAATATTGTGACTTTTACCATTTAAAACGACTGTGTTCAATTTGAACATGTAATTTCTTAAATGTATTTTATTCTTGTGATGCAAAGCTGAATTTTCAGCATCATTACTCCAGTCAAGTGTCACATGATCCTTCAGAAATCATTCTGATATGCTGATATGCTGCTTAAGAACCTTTTATTATTATAATTGTTGAAAAGCAATGTTTATTATTTTATTTTAAAAATAATAATCATTATTTTTAAGGGGGTGATTCTTTTCTATGCCCACTGAATACTGTCATAATTACTCCCGAAAATTATTTGCACCAAATCTCTATAACCACAGCTTCCAATTTTTTTACAGTAGCCTAACGGTTTTGAAAGATATGTTTATTGAATATGTTCATTGGTTATATATTTGTGTAGGCCTAATTGTGATTAGCTCCAATTTAGTCAGCCTGAATCCTGTCAGTCTTCTCAACTTTAGCTGTAATAATATACTTAACCTGTGAGTTCAGGTCTCTGTTGCTTGTTATGTGTGAAGGGATGGATCAGGTCCAGGGTTAACCTAAACAGTAAGCACCATTAATGGTTTAGCAGGAAGTCTCGTGGGGGATTGGAAAGAAACGGCAAGAGTGATGGAGCAGCTGCCTCACAACTTAAAACCTCTCTCTTTATCCTTCTGTTTGGTTTTAGGGATTCCCTGAGGTCAAACACAAATATGTATGGTCAGTGGAAGTGGTGTGATCTATTTAACCCCCAGAGACCTTTCTCCAAGAACCTCTATATATCTTTCACTCTAAAATGCATCTTTTCATGTTTCTTCACTGCCATTATCCTCTCCCTGGCCTCATGTCCATCAGATATGCATTTCAGAATCTAACCGGAAATAGTAGGTCATCCAGGTACTTTTCGCCTGCTCTTTCATGAATACTGTGAATTTGGACATATACGTTTTTCATATTAGGGAAGTATGCAGTTTCGGATACAGCCAGTTTTGTTACAGACAAAAGGTCAGATTTTGTACCCTACTGTACATATTTAGAACTGATCAACTACAACTAGATCAAAGCCATTAAAATGTTTGTGCTTGTGTGTTCTTTGTGGCTCTTATCTTAATTGTAACTGCACGTCTGGGGATCCTTTGTATTTATCATCTCCACGCTGCAAACAAAAAACATCCCCCATCATCCATAACTCTTCATTAGGTTTTCTCTAAACAAAATATACAGACATGTGCCTAAACCAAGCATCAGCTCAGTTGCTATGTTTATCATAAGGTTTTTGTGTTGCGTGCTTGTTTGCATTCCTCTTTCCTAATCTTTCTCAGACATTTAAAGGGGATCCATCCAACCCGTGAAAGCAGCTTGCGACACAAAAACACGCTTATGACTTAATATGATGTCTTGTTTTTAGATGTGGTACATGAGGACTAATTCCATCTGTGCGCAGAATGATTTATGGCAGCCTGTTTGGAGCACTATTCTGACTTAAGTGAGCTTGCCGAATTATTTCTCACATTGTATAACCATGGGATGTTTTTTTGCGAACCAAGTGGACTGCCAACCTTTAGGTCCCTGGAGTCTGTCATGCCATTATGTCATCCAGCACTAAAAGTCCATGAGTGGTGTATAAAAGATTTAGTTTCTGTATGTTGCTTAAGACATTTTAATAAAGCTCCTCAATGATTTCACCGATGATCTGCATTTCCAGTAAGTGTGAGATCTTTATGCTGTGCCAGCCAAAGAAAGTGTGAACCATCCGTGTGCTGAAATATGTTACTTAAGTCACAGGAGGAGGTCACAAGACCGCTAAAGGTCATCTAGAAATCTAATCTCCATTTAGTTCTGCAGGACAAACAATCCAAAAACATTTTATTTCAAAGTGCATGTTTGAGATTAAAGGAGTTTGATTTATATCCTGATGATTTGTACAAAACAGCTTTGTAATGCTCAGTCTTTTCCTGCACTGTAATACTTGTGGTTAATGTTTTTTAATTCATCTTGAAATTTCCCTTTGTATGTAACTGAATCTCTGCAACTTTCCCACCATATTAATTAGTGAGTAAAATTAGTTTCATAATAGCCCATTGCAGTTTGCTGTTTATAAACATTAAATGTAAAATGCTTATATTATATAATGAATTTTCTCACTGAAAAGTAAATTATCCCAATATACCTTTATGATCTGGGGTTATAACCAGTCATACTCACAAGTGTGCATGCTAACTAAAAATCACAAGAGACAAAACTGCACTAACACAAGTTTCATAACTAATCAAATGGTTAGTTTCGAACCTCGAATTTGATTGGCTGTGCGGTGTTCCATTTTTAGCAACATCATATGACCCCTTTAAGAATTCTCATGGATCACATGACATAGCCGGTGATGGGAGGAGCTAGGTCCACGTGCATTGAATGATTGATTGGCTACTTTTGTTTGGTGTGTGTGTCTCTGTATGGGCAGCATGTAGTAGAAGCAGTCACTCCTTTTCCTTCTCTCCAAGCTGAGAGATTTTGTAGAGTTGGTGTGTGCCTGACTATATCTTGGCTTGAGAACTCTCCTATGTGTTTAACCATCCTGGTAACATATTCCTAAACCATATTTTCACTGTTTGTGTTTGTATCACTCCGCTTTTCTGTGTTTGCAGATTCTAGACAGTCTGTCAGTCGGGTCTGTTGATTATTCGTGGTGGGGATTTTCTGCAGGTTACATTGTTACACAATTAGGTGGCGACAAGTGGCTTCATGAGCAAGTCACTGAATCATACGATTCGTTTTGATTCATTTAGGAATGAAACCCCTCTAGCGAGTGATGCTCAGGGACACACAGGTCGATTCTGCTTTGGCTTCATTTGGACTAGCAATATTGTTTCTAAAATGTAAGTTTGTTTATTGAACTTTCCTATAAAAGCAACATTACACTCATTGGTCTGAATATCAACACGCTTACTCCCGTGATATTGAGTGTGCACACAGGGCCCACTTATTCTACATCTGGGGATTCTGTTGGGTGCTGTGAAACTTGTCCAGACCCGCCTCCTGACTGATGTGGAAAATTGAGCTCACTTTTATCATTTACTGGCAGAACATTCATGACTCTTCCATTAAAGGAGCATGTCAGAAGTTCATGTTCATCAGCGTCCAAGAAGATGAGGAAAGTGCATGGTTCAATCTAATGTTTCATGGAAGCTTTTTAGGGGAATTGTGAGCCTGAAGTGCATTTCTCTTTATCCCTAGGTGTACAAGGCACACACCTTCAAGGTGATGTGTGCAGCCCCACACAGGTGTTCAGTTGTTCTGCTAGGTGTTGGCTTCCATTTAAAAACCGCAGAGGAAGCCCTTGTGCTATGGACACATAAAGAGCAGAGACGCCCTGCAATAAATCAACTCTGCTGCTGGGTCTCCCAATCTCTGCTTCAGGCTCTGCAAATGTTCCATTTTCAGTAGTTTATTCTGTTGTACAAAATCTTGCTGCGCTGTCAAATTTTTGCCAAGCTTATTATATTGTCAGCTTTGACTACAGATTCATATCAGCTTGTTTTGATTATTGCAAACAAGGATTAAATATTTTGGCTATTTCAGACTTCACAGTCAAATGTAACGA